AATTAAGTTTAGGTCTTCGTCGCTTTTTCCCTTTACTGTTTTCCGTTGACGATCCCCAGTAACGTATCTTTTCTGATGTGTACATCTACAAATAAGTTTTAACTAATACTTTTATTCCGTTCGAAACTTAACTTCACTGTTGTAGGCATCAGATTGTGGCTTCCGTTCTGCTTTGTACGTACATGCATGTTGCTGCGAACTTAACCCTAAACCCTAAACCCTAAACCCTAGTATTTACCTCATTGGAGAAAGGGAAATAAATTCCTTTCCGTGCGTACATATGAGAACAATTTCATGTGTACGTACACTTCACACTTAAGCAAACTGCTGCTATACAAGCTGTACCAAGCTGGAGCATGATATCTATTATCTATACCTCCTTTAGAGGCCGCCCACACAAACGCTACGGCCAAGCTTCAACTAAACATATATACTAAACCCCTTTACCTCTCCATACAGTAATAGCTATCACTATGAATGTGTAGTCAATACAGGAAAGCCCCATTCGTGGCAACGAAACGAACAATTGCATCAAGGAATAAATGAATGCATGCATGTATATGTATATGTATATGTATATATTTAAAATATGAGTTGTTGCTTGGCGCCAAGAAGTGCACTGCCCTTCAATGTTCGGCGCTTCGTTGCTGTTGCCTTTGATCCTCTCATTGCTTTTATGTACGTTGCCTGCTAGTTTGTATATTTATTGTATTCCTGTACTTTTTTGAAATCGCTTCCATGTTATAAATTATTAATAATTATATTAATTAATTAAATTTACATAGTAAGTAGTCTGTAAATTCACAATTCATAGATTTGCCTTTATCTTCTCTAAAATTGGTACTGCCTCGTCTGCTGTTATCATCGACTTGGCGCTCTGCGGCTGAGAGAAAAGACCGTCGCCTCCACGACGCGGCAAAACATGAAAATGCAGATGATGAACGATCTGGCCAGCTGCCGGTCCTCCGTTGTGAAGGACGTTAACACCGTCGCAATTTGTTGCCTGGAAATCACAAAACATGAAACAAACAAATAAAGCGAAAACAATAAACAAAAGATAACAACAATTTTTATTGATAGGGATCTAATGAACTGAAACACGGTGCAAATCGGTGCCATGTAGCGGCTCCTTCGGTGCATTCAGGTGTATGCACACCCGCTGCACTGCGCGGCAAAGTCGAGGTAACTCCTTCAAAACATTTGCAGCTTGTTCTTCATCTAATTCCATCACCGTCGCCACCGGTGCCTTCGATATCAACAGGGAATGGCCAGGGGCTGTCGGAAAGGCATCCAATATCGCCACGCAGTGTTCTGTCTCAAATATCTGATACAAATGAGCGCACATACAACCGTGCATATATTGATAAAATATGTGCATTTATATCGTATATATATATATATATATATATATATATATATATATATATATATATATATATATATATATATATAAGTAGAGATGCATTTAATGCTTTCACTCAAATATAATTGAATACATACATTATTTCGGACATAAACATGAAGAAATCTACGCACAACATACATACATGCATACGCGAATTCAGGCATGCACGCAACTGGCTATGCCCGTGTGTGCTTCATCACTGCTCTAAGAGCCTGGGCAATCTACTGCATAGTTGTTGCTCGTGCACACATACGCCAGCAGTTAATGGCAGTGATGTAATAGAAAAGAACCCACGTGCAGGCATATATACATCTGCCCATAGTTGTTACAAATTGTATACATATGCGGAATGTGGATATAAATATGAGAGCATTCTTAACACAGGGGAAGAAACCCCAACTGTCTGCCCGTCAGAGCGGCTCCCCGGGCTCGTGCTGCTCGTCCTGGCAGTTTCCTATGGGATTCGATCGAGTTTCATGTGGTGCACAAAGCTGCACGTAGAGGCGGTGCTTGCAACCGCTGCAGCTTTGGCACTGCTACGCGTGTGCAAACTGCGCGAACACCTGATGCACGCAATTAGTATAATGTCACCGACGAACCTTGTAGGAAGGAAGCCGGCCATCTAGGATCTTGGCGAAGACATTGTCCGAGTCGTAGGTGGTCGGCTGAGGCGTCATTTTGCTGTGGCGTGGTTCGCTTCGACTGTACGGATGCTGAGAGGGGTCACGGCAGACAGCCGTGTGCGCAGTAAAGAGGCGTCTTTGAGGGAGTTGAAACTTCGCAGGAGATATAAATGCGCTACAAGCAGGTAGAAAATAACGTAATAGCTGCATTTTCATAGAAACTGCGCAGAAGATGTGCTGGCGCCGGAGCGGCAGAACGAATGCTCATCATGGGGCTGGTATCGAACCTCAGGGGCTGACTAGTAGTAGCAAGGGCAAACAATCGAGGAAATAAGCTCATATTGAGACGAGTACACGTTCAGCACTACTTCTTTATGCACACATCCACTCACCCCTCCCCGCCGCCATGCAACCTGCACAGACACCGCAGCACGGTGCTCTAAGTGGATCTCGGCTTGCAGGCGGACCGACTTCATGGCGAAACAGAAATAGAAATTCAACTATCATGTGGTTCTTACAAAAGCAGTTAAACGTTATTACCATTTAATACAATCAAATGGAGTGCCTGAACGCATAGCACAGCTTCATGCTGTAACCCAACACCGATGCAGTTCATCCTTCTGTTCCTCCTCTCTTGTCAACAGATACGGACAGTCTTCCGGCATTAAGTCTCAGCACAAACGGAAAAGGCAACAGCCAGCACAACTCTTTTCCATCCCCGTGGTGTGCGCCTGCAACCGAAACAGCAGCAGCAGCAGCAGCAAGCGGTAATTTGTTAAGCAAGGCCTCCCATAGGCCTCCTGTAGCCATGCAGGCAGGCATATACGCAGCCTCTTTTCCCTCGATCTTGACTTGATCACTGCGGCTCCGTCTGTTCAAACATGCAGTGCCAATTGCTGCATGCAGCGGCTGCTGCAACACTTCGGAGGAGGCTGAGTTGTGCGCGTTGCTCACAGAGAGACCCGACTGTGCTTCAGTTGTGTCAGGTGCAAAGCGCGCTGCCTCTCTATAGCCACAACTGCACAGTACGGCTTATGGGCTCTTTGCAGCCGCCAGCGCGAAGCTTCTCTATCAGCCCTCCAGCTGCAATTCTTCGGGCTGCTTGTTGTTTCAGCTTTTCCTCTGCTGCTTCTGCTGTCTCGAGCAGCAGGAACAGCAGCAGATGCAGCAGCAGCAGAGGAGACGATGGGAACAGTTCAGCAGGTTCCTCTTTTCCAGCGTTTCCTTTTGCACAAGTGACGGACAGCAGCAGCCACTGGCTGCCGAGCCTGGCGCGAGCCAAGATACGACAGGGTGTTTCATTCACCCGCCTCTCCGCCGCTGCTAAGGGTGACTGGAACTCAGCAGATGTGCAGACAGTAGAACAGAAGGCGCTAGCTGCTGTTCGACGGGAGGGGTGGTCTATCCCTGGAACCGCGGTAGTGCTCTTCTCGGCAAAGTAAGAACATAAATGACAAACTTGTTTTGTTTCTCTCACTGGTGATCGCAGTTCATGTGTGGTCGAACCCTTTCAGGTGTACGTACACTTAATTGGGAGGCTTGGATTCCCGCGTTATTTGTCTTTTCTGGTTTTTAGTTGGTTGCTAGCTTCCTGTCTATCTGTCGTTTCCTGTTACGCCTTTTGTTTGTTTGTACATTCCAATATATATCTCGAGAAACTGCATAGACATTTATAGTTGGTGTTTTTGTTTATGTGTTTCAGTAGACAAAGTTGCACAATCACGCTACTTGCTCTGCGTTTCCTTTTGTCTCTGTGACGGCAGGTGGAGCGAGGCCTCTCGAGCGCTGCAACAGTGGCTATCGGTTCGTTTATCTTCTCTTTCAGCTTTCAGCATTCCCAAAGACAAAGAAAGCAAATCTTCTGTTCCAGAGTTAGCAATCCTCAACAGCGAAGAGGCTCCTCTCTTGCTGCGGGTATTCGGCGTTGCTGCGTTGCCCCATTGCCTGCTGATGGTCAACGGCCGCGTTGTGTGCGGTGAGGCAGTCTTTGAATTAACTGAAAATATTTACAGTGAAGAAAGCTAGTGATCTTCCTCATCATCTATCATAATTTGTGCCGCGTAACTAATAACAATAATAACACGTTGTAAAGAACGCAGACGATGGCCTGTATGGACACCGTATGTAAATCAACAGAGAGCCATTCCAGCGCTAATAGATTATAGTATAATATATTATATTATATATAGACTGAGTAAATCTTTTTGTTTTTGAGCGCGAACATATATCTATCGTTTATCATCCTCGTCAGTGTCTTGGTGGACTCACAAAGAGGTGCCTTATATATATTTTTTTCTGGTTGCAGAACTTCCTGCTGGGGCATCTGCAGCGCGCCAGGAGGCGTTTATAACGGCCGTTTCCTCGGCCATGTCGACGACTCCTGAACATGGAGAGCAAAGTGTATGCCTTTGGCCGAGAGTAGTTAACTCCCCTGTTCGAGGCAGTTTAGATGCACGCTTAAGCAGTTTTTTTTTCTGGTGATGTAGACCTGTTGATGGCGTCCTATTGTCGATGTTTTGTTTCATGTTTTCAGTTCTTTTTTAATTATTTGCTGTTAGTCTGTACCTCATTATCTTTTATG